CACTATTATTGTTACCATTATTATTATTATTATTACTATTTTACAGATGAAATAACAGGCACAGGGAGGCAAGTAATTTGTCCAAAGTCACACAGCTAATTAGTGGCAGAGCTAAGAAACCTGGGTTCCAAAGTCTATGCTCTTAAACACTATACCTACTCTTCTCAAACTCTGATGTCACAATTCCTTTACCTTCTTATAGTTATTGAGAACTTCAAAGAGTTTTTATGTGGGTTATATCCATCAGTATATTTCAGATAAATTAAAACTGAAAAAATCTAAAATATTTATTACTTCTTTACAAAATTTTTTAAAGATTTACTTATTTGAGAGAGAGAGAGTGGGGGAGGAGCAGAGGGAGAGGACAAGCAGACCCCACAATGAGCTCAGAGCCCAACACAAGGCTGGAGGATCCTGAGATTTTGACCTGAGCCGCAATCAAGAGTCAGATGATTAACTGACTGAGCCACCCAGGTACCCCTAAAATATTTATTATTTCTTTAAAAAATAACAATAAACCTACTACATGTTAACATGCTTCTACGAAAAATATTATTTTCCAGGGTGGGGGGATGGGTTAGCCTGGTGATGGGTATTAAAGAGGGCACGGCACGTACTGCATGGAGCACTGGGTGTTATACACAAACAATGAATCATGGAACACTACATCAAAAACTAATGATGTAATGTATGGTGATTAACATAACATAATTAAAAAAGAGAAAAATTATTTTCCAAAACAAAAAAAAAGTAGTAAAAAGAGTACTACTGTTTTACCATTTTTGCAGATCTCTCTAACGTATAATTTACTAAAAGACAGCTGAATTTTCATATATACTGCATTCAATCTGTTGAGGTATCATACATCATGTAGCTCTGGAAAACTACAGTGTACACTCATGAGGACAACAGTAAAAACGGTAAATACTAATATAAATCTATAAAAAGCCTTCATCTTGCACCTACAGACAAGGTCTCAGGGACACCTAGGGGTTTCCCAGACCACTCTGAAAACCACTGCACTAGTTAGTACAATGCATGCTATACAAAAGAGCTGAAAGGGGCACCTGGGTGGCTCAGATGGTTAAGCGTCTGCCTTCGGCTCAGGTCATGATCCCGGGGTCCTGGGATCGAGTCCCGCATCGGGCTCCCTGCTCCTTGGGAGCCTGCTTCTCTCTCTCTCTCTCTGTCTCTCATGAATAAATAAATAAAAAAAAAATCTTTAAAAAAAAAGAGCTGAAAGGCATGGTCTCAAGAACAAATATGCCCAAGGGCGGTCAGGGAAGGCCCAAGTAAGCGACATTTGAACAAAGATCTAAAGTAAGTGAGGGAGCAAGCCATGAGGCTACCCAGTAAAAAGTGCCCCAACTAGAAGGAATATCATCAAGTACAGAAGCCCTGAAACAGGAGCACTCCCTAAGGTATGCAGGGACAGCAAAGAGAATAGTAAGGCTGGGACAGATCAAGTGAGGGAAGAGGAGTAGACGCAATCTGAGAGTTACAGAGCTGGGGGCAGGTCATGCAGACTCTGTAGGCACTACAAGAAATTGGGCTTTTCCTGTGAATGAGAACCACGAGAAGGTTCTAAGTGAGAAGGGAGCTGATCTGACTTTCATTTTAAATGGAAAATATAAGTCACTGGTGCTTAAAGTAAAAAACCTGAATGTAAACATCAGTTCCATCTCTTACTGCGTGTCCCGGAGCCTCTCTGAGCCTCAGTTTCCTCCTTTGTAAAATGAGAAGATACAGATACCTCAAAGAGTTGTTGTCAAGATCAAATAATATCCATAAAACACTTTAAAATTATAACACACTATAAACATTTCACAACTAAGTTTATTTTCACTATGTAATCGCCACGTATTCTTCTTTGCTAGGCCCTCTATACTTACCAATTGCTGCAGCCACCACCCCATTTATGTGACTGCCATTGAGATTAAGGATGCCCCAGACCCATGACACTATGAATTCAGCCTGATAATGCCCTTGGGCTTCTTGAAAGGCAGAGAAAGTTATTTTTTGTTGTTGATGGCAAAGCAAGGGTTTTTAGTATTTTTTTTCCTTGTTATTATAAAGAAAATCCTTTCAAAAACAATGCATGTGGTAATCATAAAAATGAAATTCCAAAAAAAACAAGACTGTATGAAACTCATCTTTATTCCATTTGGCCCTGATTTAATAAAGCTAAAACCGTGGCTCATGGTCTTGACAGCTTGCCTCATACAAAATGAAACAAAAGGGGAAAAAAGGATAGAGACAAACAGATGAATTCAAATTCCTTTGATCTGGGTCCTAACTCTAAGGGGATCTCAGATAAATCAATGAGTCAGAGAAAAGGCAGTAAGATGTAATCCAGAATACCGATGACAACAGCCGTCTGTCTACCTGTCTTCTGAGATCACCGTCAAGGTATGAGATCATCAACCAAGCCAGAGAAGGCAAAGCAAGATAGAGACAACCACTGGGGACTGTAGTATCTGACTCCACTCCTCAGGGGCAGGAGTTAGACACTCAGGGAGTCAATCTGAGCAGTGATAGAAACCTGCAATGGAAAAACCCAAGGAAAACCAAGATCTCCAGGGAAAATTAAAAACAATCTCATACATCAGAGGTCTCTGATGGTTTCTTGTAAGTATGTTACAGCACAAAGAGCACTGTCATGGGAGTAAGGAAATGAATTCTCCTTCCATCTCTGCCACTAATTAATTATGTGGCTTCAGGAAATAAATTATCCTCAATGGACCAATTTCCTCATCTTAAATAAAAGAGAGGACAAGAAAATACCTAAGGTTTCCTCAAGCTCTAAAATCCCTTGAATATAAACAAAAAATGCGTTTTTTAAAAGCCCACACTAAAAAAATAAAAATAAAAAATAATAAAAGCCCACACTAATATTTAGATTATTAGGAGATCAAAAAGGTAGGTATTGCTGGGCGCCTGGGTGGCTCAGTTGGTTAAGCGACTGCCTTCGGCTCAGGTCATGATCCTGGAGTCCCTGGATCGAGTACCGCATCGGGCTCCCTGCTCGGCAAGGAGCTTGCTTCTCCCTCTGACCCTCCCCCCTCTCATGTGCTCTCTCTCTCTCATTCTCTCTGTCTCAAATAAATAAAAAAAATCTTAAAAAAAAAAAAAAAAAAAAGATAGGTATTGCTGAAAGTTCTGAAGTTTTTCAGCAGCTCTATAGATCCCTGAGTGACATGAACCCAAACAAGGGGCCCTTCCTTGTGAACAGGAGTTAACCTATTACCAAAAAGGGCAAAAGTTATTTGTCCACCATCTTCCTTCAACCTTGTTTTTATGAATTACTACTCCCTTCTTTCCAATCCAAACTATTATAAAATATACAGTTCAGAGGCAAATTGTAACGATCAGGGAACTAGAAGTTAAAGAAATATGCAAGAATTAAGTAGGGTCACCTGGGTGGCTCTGTTGGTTAAGCATCTGACTTTGGCTCAGGTCATGATCTTGGGGTCCTGGGTTTGAGCCCCATATCAGGCTCCGTGCTGAGCAGGGAGTCTGCTTGTCCCTCTCCCTCTGCCCCTCCACTCTCCGCTCCTGCTCTCTCTCTCAAATAAATGAATAAAATCTTTTAAAAAAAGAATTAAATATATAAACATGAAGTGATAAGGGAGTAAACTGAGGAATGCTTTTCAATTATTAATATTTTTAAATAGATAGCATGTGTGGGTACAAAATATGAAAGATTCAAAAGGCAGATACAGCTAAAAACAAAGAAAACACTTTTTTTTTTTTTTTAAAGATTTTGATTTATTTTTTGACAGAGAGAGAGAGACAGTGAGAGAGGGAACACAAGCAGGGGGAGTGGGAGAGGGAGAAGCAGGCTTCTCTGCTGAGCAAGGAACCTGATGTGGGGCTCGATCCCAGAACCCTGGGATCATGACCTGAGCCGAAGGCAGACGCTAAATGGCTGAGCCACCCAGGCGCCCAGAAAACAGTTTTCTAAGGGATAAATCAAAAAGGGCACTAAGAGGACTTCAGTGCATATTGTGCTCCATTTCTTAGGTGACCCTGGGATCATGACCTGAGCCAAAGGCAAGATGCTTAATGACTGAGCCACCCAGGCGCCCCTGGAGGATTCATTTCTTAATGCAAAACAGATTTCAAAAATTTTTGATAAAATATTGATTTAAAGGCTTATGCCTATTTAATAGGAGAAGGATGCCAAACCAAATTTTTTCATTTATTTAAAAAAAAAAAATACTTACTGAGCATCTACCATGTGCCCATATATAGATGAATATATTGCATTAGATTACTAAATCTAATTAGAGAGATAGGTAAAAATGATAATTCGTCTACATTGTAAAGATGGTGCTGTAGGAACAGAGAGAAGGAAGGGCTGACTCTATTCAGACAGGGTTCACAGAAAGGCAGCATATGAACTGGATCTCAAGGGGTCAGTAAGAGACCACCAGCAGGGGCGCCTGGGTGGCTCAGTCGGTTAGGCGTCTGCCTTCGGCTTGGGTTGTGATCCCAGGGTCCTGGGATCGAGCCCGCATGGGGCTCCCTGCTCGGAGGGGAACCTGCTTCTCCCTCTGCCTCTGCCCCCCATTTGTGCTTACTCTCTCTCTCTCTGGGTGTTCTCTCTCAAATAAATAAAATTAAAAATCTTAAAAAACAACAAAAAAAGACCATCAGCACTAAGGAAGATGAAAGTCTTTATATGCAAGTATGTCTCACCAAAATCGCCAAGTTCCAGATACTAAATGAAAACTGGTGGGGCCCCTGGGTGGCTCAGTCGGTTAAGTGTCTGCCTTCTGCTCGGGACATGATCTCAGGGTCCTGGGATCGAACTCCGCATTGGGCTCCCTGTTCAGTGGGGAGTCTGCTTCTCCCTCTCCCTCTGCCTCTGTATTCTCTCTCAAATAAATAAAATTTTAAAAAAATTTTAAACTGTTAATAAATACACAATGTACCCTGGAACTTTGCTCTAATAGTCAGTATCCTCATGTTTAATATAGGGGAAAGACTGCATCCTGAAGCCAGCCGATTAATCTGCTTACCTGAATGTGTTCCTGCAGAAACTGAGAAAACGCTGGCAATACGAATGCCATGGTACAAGCCTTAAAGACCCTGAAGTCCTTAAGGTCCCTGAAAATGGCTATAAGAAGAAAAAAAAAAAAGACTTTGCATCCTCAATCTTGTCTAAAAGAGTTTATTTTTAAAATCTTATTAAACAGTGGTTTCACCTATAAAGTATATATTCATAAAAATCCAAATACTGTATTGCTAGAATAACCTATGGCTCATATAGTCTAAATGTCTTGACTTTTTAGAAAGAATGATTGGCTTCTAGCTTATCAAGCCTTCATAATGAGCTTTTTCATTTCTTATCATAAATATAGCTGTCATATTATTGTTGCAATCCAGCATAATGACTACAGCTTCAGAAGAAAACAGTAACAACTTTACAAAAATTTTGAGCATTTAGGAACCACATGTACTAGAGAAATCAGTATGCTATACCCAGTTTCTCTTTTATGAATATAAGCAAAAGACAGAGGTACACATATATGCTATTTATTCTCTACAGACCTTTCATTCTACCTGTACCCAACACCCTTGTCAATTTTATCCATACTTGTCTTACAAACTATTATCCGTTGAAAGTTTTATGAAGTAGTTGGTCCAACAGATGGGTGGCTAGCCCTGCCCAACATATGTCATAGGAAAAATAGCTCTTAGGCAAAACAAGTTAGTCCCTTTCCCTTATCCAGCTGGGAACCAGTGAGACCCCCTTAGGGGAGAGCAAATAATCTTTTAACCTTTATTAAGAAAAGTTACTGGACTGAGATAATCTGTAAGTAACAAAGCAATCAAAGAAGGGAGAGAGAGTTCAAATGCTAACTTATACTCCCTAAGATAAAATACGCACTTGCCCACATGTAACAGACAACTAGAACACAGAGAAGGGCAACAAAACAAAACAAACCCTGAATCAGTTTAACTAGGAGCTATTTCATCAAAGACAGGTAGGAAACAGATAATACTATCTTGTTTAGAACAGAGCTCAGGGGCACCTGCGTAGCTCAATCCTTAAGCATCTGCCTTCAGCTCGGGTCATGATCCCAGGGTCCTGGGATCGAGCCCCACATCAGGCTCCCTGCTCAGAGGGAAGCCTGCTTCCCCCATCTCTCTCTGTCAAATAAATAATAAAATCTTAAAAAAAAAAAAAAAAAAGAACACAGAGCTCAAGAGATCTGGGGGAGGAAAATGAAAGGCAACAACCTAAAAAGTATAGCATATATGAACAGAAGAACTCAACTAATAAATGACTCATCATGGTCTTATTTGCAAAACTAGACAGAACAGAATGGTAGCAGTATCTTTCCTCTTTGCCCCCTGTCCATAAAGCTTAAGCTGATAGCATCTGATCCTGTCTTCAGATGGATATCTGTCTCCTTCAACATACTATCTAAGTGTTCCCCAAGGAGAACAGTAAGACCAATTCTGCCAGAGACAGTTATCTCCCCAAACCAAGGAGCCTATCTCAATCTAATGAGTGAAAGCCAGTGGAGGGGAAGAGGTCCGCAAATGCCACTTGTATGACTCTTTCAAGATATGCTCTGAAACAGGAAAACACTACAGACTACATTTTAGCAGAACTAAAAATAACAAAAGAACATTCCCTATTTTTAGATATCTAACTTACAAGTTTCAAAAACACTAAAAGTAAAGGAAACCATTAAAAACAAACTGGAATTTTAAACTGTTATAAAAGACACTTTTGAGTTGAGAAAACTGTTTTTAGAGACAGAATTTTAAAAATCCTACATTCTTTCTGTTTACTACATTCTTGCTCAAACTTCCCCATCTTCAAAACTCAGTCTCAATCTTCTGTATTACCAAGAGCATTTCCAAGAACCAAAAGATGATTCAGAAGGTTATACCACAAAATGAGAAAGAAGGAAAATTTTAAAACATGCTTTCACGAAGAGACATAATAATAGAGTGTGGATTAGTGATTAAAGACAATAATGTATAAAACAGCAAAAGCGATTTAATTATCCTACATTAAAAGCAGTGCTACAGATAATAATAAAACACTTAACTAAAGGGAAATGTTTTCTTCCCCTCACTGAACAGTCTTAAGTCAGTAAACATCTAAAACAAAGCTATGTCTGAATAACTAGAGTAACTAGAGTTTACAACTAGAAAAAACTACTAATTTTTTTTTTTTTTACAATAGAAACCCGAACATGCAGTACATTCACTGGACAATTTGTTTACTCCCAGCTATCTTCCTCCCATCTCTATCCAAACCTAGTACAGATATACCCAACCTTATTAAAGAAACCTGTGGCAAATAGAATCTGCAGGAAATACGGAATTACCGGACTGCACAGCCATCATTAACATCTCAGGTTCCAGTAGAGTCATGACAGATTCTTCTCAGAAACAGCAGCCCACAAATACAATGAAAAAATTCAAAGTCACAGAAGATGTTGTCTTCAGAGGCTACCAAAGCTTTCATAAATTCAGTCTCGTGCCTTATGCTCAGACTGTGAGAACTCACTCCCCTCCTCAGTGCAGTTACCAATTTATCCACCCTTCAAGCAAGTCAAGATGGCACAGAGTTGAATTACTGCCGACAGGAAACCAACAGGCGCTCAAGTTAAGATCTATGAAGTGTGGTTAGAACAGTGAGTGAGCTCCTCCTCCTTGCTGTTCGTCTCTGGGGGGAGGGGAGACACATAGAGAAAGAGACCTTCAGAACACAGATCAACTGCTTTTTTTCCCTCTTTTCAGGAAGAGAAGATGAGGTTTGTTCCAAACCTTCAGTATAAGGGGCGTTGCTGCTAATGCAGTTTAGAGCAATAGATTAAACATAATCCAAACAACCCAATCTTTTGAAACAAACAGCCCAATTACTGACGTATTAGTGGGAGGTGAGGATGGGAATTAGGCACATATACACACATGCATACAGATGAATATGTATGGTGACTTAATTTTCTGCAAAAGAGTTCTACGGGCTTTTTCATCTGTGATATTTATAGATAACAGGCTAAGGAAGTTGAACATTTAACTACAGAAGTGCAACTATTTCTCCACCCCAACTTCAATTAAAATATTTGTTTCAAAAAGTCATCTGAATACATTCCGGAGCTGTAATTTGTCTTTCAGATCTGCCAGTCCCCTAAAAGGGCCCCTTAACTTGTTCCTGTGTGAGACATTTGGGCTGTCAATAGACAGTTTACTGATGCTATTTGACTTTTCTAAAATGTGTTATGACCTTGCTAGATGTATGGAACACATAAGACGATAGTTCAAATACATAACAATTACCCTTTCCTGATAAAGAAACTTTAATTCTTTTTCCACTAGCACAGAGCAGGCTCTTCTGAATAAGAACAAACACGGGCATTTTACCTTCCACTGCAAAAACAAAAACAAACCAAAATCCTTTCAAATCACAGCAATTTCATTTATCTGAAGTGAAAAGCTCATTCATTTCCTTTACGGTCCTTTTTACTAACTGATCGTGATAATAAGGATAATAAGATGCCTGTTGGCATATCTGATTGACTTTTAAACAGCTGAAAACTAGAAATCCATGTTTGGTATGTTTAGCTAGAATTCCTCAATCTTTCTGGCTAAGTAGCAGCCTGTATCTTGAAAGCCTGCTGCTGCAGACGCAGCCCAGCAAATGCCAAAACGCTCACAGAGTCAAACCAATGATAAATGAAAGCACTAAGAGACCTCAGAAGAGAAAACAGTCTCAGAATGATTGAGGGCAATATTCTGTTATTAGAAAAAGGAAAGCAATGCAGATTTGGGGTGGGGGAGATTTTGTGGAGGAAAGAAAAACTTCCTTTCTTTCTCACTCCAAGAACATCATGTTTAAAAGAAAAGCCAGAAAAGCTCTATATAGAACTGTGGGAATGACTCAACAGGCAATGGAGTGGCAGCCAGTGTGGGCTAAATGCTGCTCTGGGAAGACAGAAGCATTCTCACTGGCCCCTTCCGGCAACCAAATTCTCAACTGTCTTATGAAAAATGGGTACATTTCAATTCTCAGACTACACGGTACTCTGGTCAGAGGTTAGCAACTAAAGGAAAAGCATCTTTAGGGGCACCTGGGTGGCTCAGATGGTTAAGCGTCTGCCGTCGGCTCAGGTCATGATCCCAGGGTGCTGGGATGGAGCCCCGCGTCTGTCCGGCTCCTGGCTCGGCGGGGAGCCTGCTTCTCCCTCTCCCTCTGCCTCTCCCCCTGTTCATGCACTCTCTCTCTCTCTCTGTATCTCTGTCTCAAATGAATAAATTAAAAAATTTAAAAAATTTAAAAAAAATAAAGGAAAAGGATCTTTAAAAGGGTGAATCATTCCTTTGTCCCTATGTGGGCTGTACAGTTTGCTGTGTGAGGGTTTTTCAAATGAAACAAGTTCTCACAGTTCTGTACTTACAGGAAAATAAATACAAATTATAAGATTCCTGCACAGAGGATGGCAAGAAGGGCAGAGGGCTGTGTCCTTCCTACAAAATGTCTCTCTTGGCTGTAGAAGAGTGGCAGAAGGGCACGACTGTCAATACTGCAGCCCTACAGAGATACCGACAGTCATATGGTGGTGGGAGCAATAAGACATCACAGTGCATCTGATGGCTAGCTTTTTCCTGGCAAGTCCACTCCCATTATCTCCTCTGCAATGTGGAATAAAAAGAGCTAAAGAAAAGGAAAACAGGGGTGCCTGGGTGGCTCAGTTGTTAAGCGTCTGCCTTTGGCTCAGGTCATGATCCCAGGTCCTGGGATTGAGGCCCGCATCGGGCTCCCTGCTCAGAGGGAAGCCTGCTTCCCCACCTCCCACTCCCTCTGCTTGTATTCCCTCTCTCGCTGTCTCTGTCAAATACATAAATAAAATCTTAAAAAAAAGGGGGGGGGAAACAATTTTTAAGACAGAAATCTAAAAAAATTAATCTTTAAAAAAAGTAAACAGTAAGCCACATAATCTTTGCCTACTGCTAAGATTTTGTATTTACCTTGAAGAGTATCAGCACAGCACCAGATTCACTGTGAAACTGGCTTTAAGACAGGTTTCACAATTCTAAAAGTCTGAACTCCTAGGACAGCCTCAGTGCCACTATCTTTGGGTCAATTAGCAAAATTTCAC